ATGATATTCTTCCTTTTAAATCTGAAGAGAATGCAAAAGTATTACTTTTTTAGCATTTCAGATCCACCATGTAGTTCAGTATTAATCTTTCAAACCAAAGAAGAGTTTAAATTCAGTTTCCTCCTCGCACACTCATTACAAAATTCAATAAAGAAATTATGATAAAATAAAAAAAGGAAAAAGTTAGCATGCAATATTAATCCAAATTATATTATCTATAGTTAATGTAAAATTAAACGCTACACAGATACACCAATTAGGAGGAAGAAAAACAAATCGAGAATCGTGACTGATGGGATTGTGCATAAAAACGATCGACAGCAAAACTCAAACGTTGTTCAAGGATCAGCCATGTACACCTTTCAAGCAAACGGTTGATAGTGAATCAATCATATTTCTTTACAATAAAGTTATGATCACCTGACCATGACCATTTGATCGATAGCAACAGTCATTTTGTTGATATTTACCAACATTATAAGATCCTCCACCGCCTCCACAAGAATTCCAGCTATGATTGCCACTGCTTCCTCCAGAGTACCCTCCTCCTCCTCCCGCACCCCCTGACCATCCATAACCACCTGCCCCTCCACCAAATCCACCATCAGCACTCTTCATCTTGGCTTTACCTCCCACCCCTCCCTGTAAGAATCCCTTACCACCCTCTCCACCAGTTCCCATGGTACCACCAAACTGCTTTGAACTTCTGCCGCTGGAGTAGAAACCTCCGCCGCCGCCACCTATCAGTGATAATAACAACAACAAAAGTAGTTGTGTCCTAAGTGGGTTCTTATTCTAGACGTTGAGGCTGTGGACTTTTTGAATTTTTTCATTATTTGATTGATAAAAACAGAGATACTCTGTACAACAGAGCTTATTGGAAGTCGATGATAATTACTCAGACAGACTTAGTAATCAAATATATGTCGATCTAAGATTGCTCCCGCAACAACTGAGTCAATATTCTTGTAACATTCATACGTCAACCTTCATTGACTAGTTTGCACTATTCAAAAAAACAACAACAACAACAACAATACTTTAAGATAAATGAACCTTTAATCGTTTGTCTTAGAGGCTAATCAATCGTGTATTAATTAGGACCTTTCGACTCCTATGCTGCAAGTCTTCATTAGCATTTATCTGTGAGCCACTTTGGGCAAGAACACAATTGGATATTTTTACACAACTTATAAACTGGGATATTGTAGCCAACTAGGTGCTTATTTTTTAGTTTCAAAATCAGTGCACTTTGGAGAAATTCAGACAAACGTCTATTCAGGAAAAAAAAAACCGAAACTGTACCGAGATTAATAATCGAATGATGTGTTCACATTCCCTATCGGGAAGAATTTAATGCATCAGAGAAAAGACAAATGATGTCAAAATGTATGATAGAAGTACCAAGTTGTAAGGTTGCATTGCGCTTGAGATAGAGAGATAAACATTTTACACTTTTTTGCGATGTTTTTGTGTAAAAACGAGACCCCAGGCCTCGAACGGGCAGCGTTGTTACCATTCAACAAGAGCGCAGCAGTCTTTTGAAAAGGGCGTTTTTGTACATCCCCGAATGCCTAACTGCATGCAAGATTCAAAGGGGGTTGAAACTTTCACCTCCAAGATGTTTGATTCTTTCAGAATTGCTCTTAATCCTCACTTAAAAAATGTACATAGGCAAACAAAGAGACAACAATAACAAGACAAAAACGAAAACAAAACCATTTAATATTTAACAACGATAAATCCGTAACCTTTTTGCCATGCAGTTCATATAATTCCATTAATCACGACTTTGACAGTTTTAAGTTTTCCTTTTCTTCTGACAAGAATTAATTAATATGCGGATACCAGATTTTAATCTTTAGGTTTCGGAGACTAATGATAACATACCAAAAGAACCCACTCACCGGAATAACCACCATCAGCAATCTGTGAACCATTTCCATGGTTCCCTCCTGACCATGACTTGTACCCAGGATTTCCCGAAGAACCAGCATTAGCATCACATCCTGGATGTCTTGAACTTGGATTCTGTATTCCTCCTCCACCTCCGGCTATAATCAAAGGTGTGTTGCCTCCCCTCACCACAAATGTACCTCCAGCACCGCCAGAAGAAGGGTAGTGCTTGTTAATCCCTCCTTCTTGACCAACAAGTATCTGAATGACTTCTCCCTTGCTTAAGCTGAATGTTCCAATCATTCTTGCTCCTCTTCCTCGATACTTAGCGCTGTTGGGGTGGGAATCGTATCCTCCTGCTCCTCCTATTGCTTCTATTCTGTATTCACCAGTATACGGCACAGTCCATTGTTGAATACCGCTGGACAGTGTAACTTGTCCGTCATGATCGTGACCCGAGTAGCTAATACCCAGACTTGTTGGACCATGTGTTCCAGTTGCACCAAGGTTGGTAAAAAGAGCTTTGAAAGCTGGGAGAATAGTGTTTGTTGAGTTGCGTTCATGGATAAATTTATTTAACGATGATTGGAAATAAATTTGCAAATTAAAAAAGAGGCATGGAATGGTTAAAACCAGTGAAGTGTTCCTTAAAATTAATCATCTATTTACTTGATTTAAATGATTTTTCAATTTTTTTAACGCATTCATTTTTCTTTCACTCATTCATTCATTCATTCATTTTCTCCTAATTGACGCGTACCCACTTGTCTCGAATGGAAATATTTTTACAGACTAAAAGAATCTGTATTTGATCGACTGAATTTTGCGATTTTTAAAGAGGTGTAATGAAATGGTGATTGAATTTCGTGTCGTGCAATTTGGGTCTGAAATTATACTTGTGATTTTAAATCAACCTCGCACTGCGCGCAAGTTCACTTTTAAACTAACGTAACGCATATGATTTGCTTAGGTATTAAAATGATTTCGAGTGCATTTTTTTTTAATAAGCACGAATATATTTTTTGCATTTTGTAGTCTTTGAGAATTACAAGTGGGGGAGGGGGGGGGGGAAGTTCATTTGTGCCTAGGATTTTCGGCCAGAATTTCATTACTTTGTCGTCGGCTTAAATTTTCAATCTTTCTAATTCAGCCAGTTTCAAAACTTAGGGCTCGTTTTTCTCTATTTCATCTCCTTCAATTGTAAGCCTCTTTGCCAAACTTTCGTCATCTCTCACTTTTTGTCGTGATTTATGTTTCCTTCACATTTTGGACTCCAGGCCTCTGTTCTTGAAAGCGTTCATCGATTGCCTTAATGTTAGTTTGATGACAGGAAATTTTATAATTATCTATTTAAGTGGTTCAGATGCTATTCTTTCTGAATAGAAAATCGATTACTTACTTGTCACTAATCGATAATTTTCTTTTGCGTTTTTTCGGTATCAGTTTTCAGTTTTTCATGTTAAGCAAGGGAAGTGTTTGAACTGATGACAAAATACTCGCTTAATTCCATGGATTGTACTTGATTTCCTCTGACAGAAGTTGGAAACGAACTCAAAATCACTTAAATCTGTAAAGTAACCAAATTAATGCTTGATTGATTTGATCTGAATGCAGACATGTCAGGTATTATATAAAACAAATTAAACTTGCTCGCTGTCTGCTTCCGTGATTGACAAGAGGGTCCCCTGTAATTTTTATGTGAAACATGATTGGGCGATTTTTTTCATCGTGAATCGTGATTTGAGTTTTTCCTTATTTCGTTAATCGCGATTCAAGATAACAAGATCACGTCTATAAACGTGACCCGTGAATGAGGAACTGAATCAAACGTGAACTATTTTGTTTTGCGCGATGAATTCCCCGCTTTTTAATGGTTTTGAAAATGTATTATTGTACAGTTGTTGTTATGTTTTGACCAGGCTTGTGACAGGACATGAACTTTATATGGATCAATAAAAGTCATAAACCAGACCTCATAAAGTATCTGTCTGAGCTGCAATGAATGAGGTAAGTATTCGTTTTAAACGCACATTTTATGAGGTTTCAAGTGGATCACGCAAATCGTTATCATTCGAAAAAAACTTTTAAACAAACAACATTTCTTTTTATCAGATCCCGTTTTGCATTTATGTCCATTATAGTGACAGCCGTTTCACATCTGGATTTTTTTTCACTTCAAATCGTTATCAGTTAAACTCTCGGATGAAAAAAACTATTTAAAAAAAAATCAAACAACATTTCTTATACTTACTGCAATTGAACTTTCAAGTGTACCAGTTTGTTTTGCATTTGCATGTGTAAGTATACCCTTATAACGAGTATCCAGTCTAAGAGATCGACGGAGATAGATCAGAGTTTCTTTTTCATTTGTTTTGTTATCAGTAAAGACTCATCCCATTTTTTGATCATTTGTTTTGTTATTCAGTCTCAATTTTTTGATCTTGTACATTTCCCTTTTTTAGTTTTCACCACATGTGTACCATAGTCAGACGACAGCATTAAACGTTGTTGAATCAACTTGTGTTGTCGATTCCTACACTATGATACTCCCGAACTCCAGTGCACAACACCCCGTGTCCGCTGCATTGGGTACGCGACAGCCTTAATTCTTAAAATGGGGGTATTCGCAAAAGTTTCCTTCAAAAATTGTAAACTGTTCAATGCAGTCTGGCCAAAGTGCCAAACAAGGCTTTGTAAAGCGCCATAAGCCATTGGATATGATGCTATGAAAATATTTCATTATTATTAATATGTCTCTATGAATATCTATGAATCTCACCTGTGCAATTCCGACCGTTCCCCTGATAACCTTCTGTACAGTTACACGTAAATGATCCCTCGGTATTATTACAAACAGCTTTGGCATGACAGTCATGAGAGTTGTCAATACACTCGTTTCTATCTAAACAAAGAAAACAATGAGGACTGATATGAGCTTATCCGCAAGCTGGATGAAGAACCTTCAGAACATTAAAAAAGAATATTAGTGAGACCTTTTTCACAGTTTTCTCCCGTGTAACCATCTGGACACAGACAAATGTATCTCTTGTCGGTATATCCATTGAGACAGGTGGAATTATGGAGGCAGGGATTACTGGTGCACGAATTCTGATAGGATATAAAAACACCTGTTAGCATCTATACTTGACCAAAAACATTCAAGCTGATTTCAGACGATTGTATTGTAATGTAAAGTAAAATCCTACCTCAGAGGCCCAGAGAATAAAACCTTTTTCTATTTCTTTATCTTCACGATGTTGGGCGTGGTCAAAATTACTCAGTTGGCAGAGCCTGAAGTCTGTCTCGTTTGGTGGGCCGATGTTCACAGACAAACAATTGCTCTCTATGAGGCACTCATATCTACAGTCATGAGTCATGAGCTCCTTCCCCATTGGCAAGTAAATTTCTTTAAATACGTATCGTTGAGGAGCACGTTCTCCTTCTGATCTCTTAAACCTAAGACTTCGGCAGCCAAAATCTGGAGGCATTGGATTCATAAGAAAAAATGTCATCAGAATTTCAGCTCGAGAAATACTTATACTCTGATCAGAAACGTGAATACCACTGCTAGAGCGATACATATCAGATATTACAGAATTTATTAGTGTACCTTAAAAACACTTTGGGTCAGCACAAAAAAAAAAAAAAAAAAAAAAAAAATTAAAAATAAAATAAAATAAACAACAATACTACTTTCAGTCCGTTAGTTAATGAAACACAAAAAAAACCTTTTAAAGTGACTTCCCTGATAACAGAATAAATAACGGGAAAAAAATTGTTGCTGTTAGATCTTCATGGTAGCCTTTTACATTAAAAGGGCTTTTGGTATTAAGGTAGTTTGTAAAAGATAGCTAAAAGATAAATCAATTAGGTTTCAAACTTATCGTTTCGCGTAATGATGCAAGAGATCATTTTACAACAAAATTGCTTTAAAAAGAAAATTTTTAGACTTAAATATGAATTTTCAGTTTCTTAAAAATAAGTGGAGAATAATACCTGGGCGCGCGTAGATAAGGAATTTCTCTTCGAGTGTTTAACTCGATAGCTCACGAGTGAGATGTTGAGTTGAACACGAGAAGAAAAATTCCATATCTACAAGCAACCATGTATTATTTTGTTTATCATATAAACATAATAGCCTGAGAAGAAAAGCCGACTTCATTAATGAATGAAAATGAATGAATCGAAAATCCCCGAATAACAATCGTAGAGTGCGTTGGCGCTAATTGTTAAAATAGAAAAAATGCATTGAATCATTATTACAAAACAACAATGGTCTTAATTTTCAATTTACAAAATTCTCATTTAGTGACTTTGTCCTAACTGACAGAAGACGTCTTTCGGGTGAACAGTCAAAATCGGCCGGTGGCAAATCTTTCAGTTGTCAATTTTCATTCTCAGCCGAGAGAAATGCTAACACCAAAGCCACTGAATACGTAACTTTCGGTTTTTCTTTTAGTATGTTGGTTTCTTTCCCCTTGTAAGAAAATTTGAACCTCACAGTCTGCTATACGGATTTTCAGTGTTTTAGCAGCCATAATTGGAGAAAGCTCCGACAAACAACTTGTATTAAGAATCGTGAAGGCTTTGCCGTTCATTCATCAACCTGACCGAGTGGCGGAAAAGGCAAGTGACGTGTCAGCGGCTAATTGGCTATATCAATACACGTGAAAAAATACGATATTTTTTCACGTGTGTTGTTACGGCTTTTCTCGGAGCCAGAAATCCCTGTATAACACCGCAGTTTATGTGATAAAGTGTTTTTTATTACGAGGTAATTTTCACACTACAACTATTTTTTCCATCGGTAGCCAATAACAGATTTTTTACTTGCCCTGCAATCTTAACAGCTTTAAACCGGTTTGAAAACTTTGGTTGGCTTATGTCGCCTTATACATAAAATATATGAAAATATAATCAGCCTCTATGTTATTTTTAGTTAAGGGAAGAAACCACCTGTTTTGGTGTTGATGAGCAAACAGATTACCTAATATATTAAAGTTCACACGGCAACCAGGTGGACAATCAGACATAGTTTGAAGCTACACTGGTTTGCAGATTTAATGAATGTAACCGAAGAAGTTACAATTCATAGACCCAACGTTTCGACACTCCTGTCTAGTGCCTTCATCAGGGGTGATCTAAACGCTGCAACAAGAGGTCCTTTTATATGATCACTAATTAGCGGCCTTTTTTCTGACGAGGTGTAAATAGGCGTCAGGAAGCAGACCGCCATCGTCACGATTTAAAGGAGCGTGGGCGGAGTTTATGTGCCAAGCCTCCAAACAAAGGCGCTGGTGGTAACGCCGATTAGTAGTGATAATTTTAGAATTATCCCACCCAATTGTATGGTTGGTTAGGCAAGTATGCTCCGATAAAGCTGAATTTTCCTTTTTGCAAAGAAAAACCGCTTTTTGGTGCTCTTTTAACCGTGTACCAAACTGGCGTTTGGTCTGTCCGATGTATTCGTTATCACAGTCATTGCAAGGAATAGAATAAATGGCGTCGGTTCGTTGTTCTTTCGTGACAGGATCCTTAGGTTTGGCGAAAATATGCCCCAAAGTCTGAAAAGGTTTTTGAGCAACTTTAACGTTGTGGCTATTCAAAATTCTCTTGATGGGTTCAGTAACACCCTGTATGTAAGGAATAACAGCAAAACCAGTCGCTGGTTCCCTTTCATCAAGAGCGTTACTATTTGTAACTGGTTTTTGGCAGTTACGGAGAAAAGTTTTTGTATAGCCATTTGCCTTTAGGACATTGGAAACATATTTCCTCTCCTCAGCCTTCGAATCGAGTGATGATGGTAGACAATCAGCCCTCCTAAGTAAAGTTTTGGCTACAGACTTTTTATGGCAAGTAGGATGGTGAGAATCGAAAGCGAGGTATTTGTCGGTGTGGGTGGGTTTACGATAGACACTTGTCTCTAAATTACCCTGAACCCCTCTAGACACATTTAAATCAAGAAAGGGCAAATGTCTATCCTTTTCACGTTCAAGGGTGAATTGGATCGACGGCTCTACTGAATTCAAATGCGACAAGAGGCGCTCCGCTTCATTTCCGGATACCGCAGAAATAACATCATCGACATATCGTTTCCAGAAAAAGGGTTTAACCGGTGAAGTGGCTAAGGCCCTTTGTTCCACGTCTTCCATTACCATGTTAGCAATGACAGCAGAAACAGGCGAACCCATAGCTGTACCAAAAACTTGTTGATAGTATGTGCCGTTATATGTAAATTGCGTGGTTTTGAGGCAAAAAGACAGCAGATGAATAATATCCTCCACAGGCAAAGAAGTTCTTTGTCCTAGGGAAACATCTTCTCTGAGTCTTTCCTCCGCAACCTTAACGGCAAGATCAACTGGGATTTTAGTGAAGAGCGAAACAACGTCGAAAGATACTAATTCTTCACAAGCGTCAAGAGTTTTATCTCTTATGAAATCCGTAAATTCGCAGGAATTTTTTTGACAGTGTAATCAGTATTCCCAACAACAGGCGACAAAATTCTCGCAAGATAACCAGAAATTGCATAAGTCGGAGAATTAACAAAAGAGACAATGGGTCTCAAAGGAATTCCCGGTTTATGAATTTTAGGTAAGCCATAAAAACGTGGACATAGGCCGTCACTACTGTATAACGTTTTGTACGTAGAGTCACTAATTCTGCCAGCTTTTTTCAAATCAAGCAACATTTTGTTTAACTTTCTTTGAGTTTTACTGGTTGGATCAGAGTTTAAGACAGCATACGTACTCTTGTCATTGAGCAGAGACAAAGCTTTGTCGTGATATTGCTGTTTGTCCATAACCACAACACAATTACCCTTGTCAGCAGATAATACGAGCCTGTCCGGATCCTTTTTGAGAGTTATAAGCGCATTGAAAACATCCTTTTGAATGTTTTTGGGAGGAGGTTTAGCACGCCTGAGTACGCTACTTACTTCTGCTCTTACCAAATGCCTACGATCGTCGTCGAGTTGAGAGATACTCTCCTCAACAGCGGCGACAATTTCGGCGGTCGGTATTTTGCGAGGAGCAATAGCAAACTTTAGACCCTTCTCTAAACCACTCCGTTCCAGCGCGGATAATTCCTTGGAGGAAAGGTTCATGACCCATTTATCTTTCAGAAACCGGGAATTCCTTTGAGACCCATTGTCTCTTTTGTTAATTCTCCGACTTATGCAATTTCTGGTTATCTTGCGAGAATTTTGTCGCCTGTTGTTGGGAATACTGATTACACTGTCAAAAAAATTCCTGCGAATTTACGGATTTCATAAGAGATAAAACTCTTGACGCTTGTGAAGAATTAGTATCTTTCGACGTTGTTTCGCTCTTCACTAAAATCCCAGTTGATCTTGCCGTTAAGGTTGCGGAGGAAAGACTCGGAGAAGATGTTTCCCTAGGACAAAGAACTTCTTTGCCTGTGGAGGATATTATTCATCTGCTGTCTTTTTGCCTCAAAACCACGCAATTTACATATAACGGCACATACTATCAACAAGTTTTTGGTACAGCTATGGGTTCGCCTGTTTCTGCTGTCATTGCTAACATGGTAATGGAAGACGTGGAACAAAGGGCCTTAGCCACTTCACCGGTTAAACCCTTTTTCTGGAAACGATATGTCGATGATGTTATTTCTGCGGTATCCGGAAATGAAGCGGAGCGCCTCTTGTCGCATTTGAATTCAGTAGAGCCGTCGATCCAATTCACCCTTGAACGTGAAAAGGATAGACATTTGCCCTTTCTTGATTTAAATGTGTCTAGAGGGGTTCAGGGTAATTTAGAGACAAGTGTCTATCGTAAACCCACCCACACCGACAAATACCTCGCTTTCGATTCTCACCATCCTACTTGCCATAAAAAGTCTGTAGCCAAAACTTTACTTAGGAGGGCTGATTGTCTACCATCATCACTCGATTCGAAGGCTGAGGAGAGGAAATATGTTTCCAATGTCCTAAAGGCAAATGGCTATACAAAAACTTTTCTCCGTAACTGCCAAAAACCAGTTACAAATAGTAACGCTCTTGATGAAAGGGAACCAGCGACTGGTTTTGCTGTTATTCCTTACATACAGGGTGTTACTGAACCCATCAAGAGAATTTTGAATAGCCACAACGTTAAAGTTGCTCAAAAACCTTTTCAGACTTTGGGGCATATTTTCGCCAAACCTAAGGATCCTGTCACGAAAGAACAACGAACCGACGCCATTTATTCTATTCCTTGCAATGACTGTGATAACGAATACATCGGACAGACCAAACGCCAGTTTGGTACACGGTTAAAAGAGCACCAAAAAGCGGTTTTTCTTTGCAAAAAGGAAAATTCAGCTTTATCGGAGCATACTTGCCTAACCAACCATACAATTGGGTGGGATAATTCTAAAATTATCACTACTAATCGGCGTTACCACCAGCGCCTTTGTTTGGAGGCTTGGCACATAAACTCCGCCCACGCTCCTTTAAATCGTGACGATGGCGGTCTGCTTCCTGACGCCTATTTACACCTCGTCAGAAAAAAGGCCGCTAATTAGTGATCATATAAAAGGACCTCTTGTTGCAGCGTTTAGATCACCCCTGATGAAGGCACTA